TGAGCATCATAGAATGCCAATTTAATAGAAGAAAGTATTCTTGCGTTGAGGGAGTACTTGAGTGGAGGCCCAATGTCCTTCTGTTACGTTAATACTAAAGCTATAAATGTAGGCTCATAGATCTATTTCCCCATCCTCGTATAAATATATTTGCATATGTACATGTCTTTATCTAGACCTCTATGACTCTCTCCTCATTAACAGGCTAGATTTGGTTCACACAGTAACCATTTGTAGTAATCATATACATGTTATTTCCAACTTCTATAAATGTTATTTCCAACTTTTACCAAAGATAACTGGGGCTCATGGCCTGCGTAATACTGTAAGGGTCAATTCACATTGGAATCTACTTGATGGCAATGGGTTTGGTTTTTTTTGAGGGGTATCTGACCAGTCTTCATGCCGTCTTCAAATCTCTATGTAAAGCTTGTCTTCCCAATCACTGCCACCTAGTCCATGCCAACTCAGAGTGACCCTATAGGGCAGGATAGACATGCCTCTGGATTTCCGGAGTAGGATAGCCCATCTTTCACCTAAAGAGTGGCTAGTGGTCTTAAGCTTTGGTCACAGCCCATCTCCTAACCACTACACCACCAGGGCTCCAAAGCTCTCCGTGGTGAGACTTGTCTGTTCTGTTTAAAACTGAAACCTGTTCACCTCCCCATCTACTGCCTCTGACCTCCCATATGTTTTTACTTCTTTTAATGTACTTTGTGATGATTATGTTATTGCTATTGTTTATCTGCATTTGTTAGAATGAAAGTTCCTATCGCTGAGTTTATTTTATGGTTGTTTACTGATTTAGCCTGTTCACCTGGAACAGTGGTAGGCACAGAGTGGACGTTTACTTCATAAGGATTTGTTGATCTGAATAGTATCTTCCTTCATCTCATAAGCAGTCTGTTACCATATTGTTATTACCGAGCTCCTTAATTGTTTTCAGATCTTTCCACGTTTCTCCATTGCTGCAATGTCCACCTACTCTAAACGCCTATCATGTTTCACTTGATTTGCTGCAACAGTCTCTTGATTTGTCTGCCTGTATCCACTCATATTTGTTCTCTATAGTACTTGCAGCA